TCCGTTGAATTAGTGGTGAGTGTTGTAAGTAGTCCAGTATGTAAATTTCGAGTCTTAAATGCTATCGAATGTGAGGTGCGATAAGGTAAGACGTGTTCAAATTTACATCTTTGTTTATGTACAGCAAACGTGGCTTAATCGATTTAACACGCAAGAACGCCATGGTTGCGTATTTTGTTGTTCTCTTAGGAACAAAAAAAAATTCCTTATTTGTTAAAGGCATAAACACCGGTGCGGGGAAGAAGCATTTGGTCACGTCTGATTTCAGTATGGTTTTTGTACGACATTAAACAAAGCTTGTGCCTTTTCTTGCCCCAACATATCCCCAGATGTGACACAGGCGAGTCCTCATTTGTGACGGGGCACCCTGAAGCTTGTACTGGTGACAGTACAAGCTACTTATTCTGATGACAGAATAAGGCGGTGCCTCGGAACTTCACGTACACTCGTACGTGCAGAGGAAGACGGTAAGAAGAAGCGAGTGCTTGGTTAAAGTAAAAAGTAGAACTGTATTTATAATAGTGAATGTCTGCAATAAATCACTATTTATCTTCATCTAACTATGTCTAAATACAAATGTGTAAATCAGTTATCTGCTCACCACTCATTGCGTGCGTCTGTCATGGCGCGTCTTCGTTGGTTGATATAATGGCCTATATCAACCAAGTAGGAACTACTCGTAAGTGCTACAGAATATTTGTCCTTATGACAATATTCTGAGAGTATAACTCTTATAGTTATATTCTATTAACAATTTCTTATAAATTGTTATGTAACGATTCACCCCGTTACATCACCCCCCCCCTTTACCATCAGTCACTTTAGTGACTGATTGACTAAATGGATACTCGTCCCAAATCATTTGGGACAGGGTTTGCACTTGTTGGTCCGAGTCCACTTTCCAACAATTCATCGCATGGTTAACAAGCCCATGCGATGCGCGAGCAAGGCCGCCGAGAGCGCGTCCGCACGTCTCTGTGCGGACGCCGAAGCAGAAACCACAGCAACTGATGTCTCATCGGTTGCTGAAGCGACCCAGCCTGTGTCACTTGGTGATGCAGGCGCTGGTCATGAAGACACTCATGTCTTCACAGAGTACGAGCTCGGTGTCTCGTACTCTCCTGATACGGAAGACGGATCCGTATCGACGGCGATTGAATCCAAGCCGCCTGCCAAGCGTGAAGTTATAGATACTACGCGTCGCAGCATCTTTGGCTCATCTGATGAATCAGATGAACCATCGCCGAAGCGTAGGCGCTCGAGGTCGCGAGACTCGGGCGCTAACAGTGTTGTCGGTTCTCCTATGGACACCACTACACAGCGAGGTGCCAGTACTTCTGTCGACACGTCGCAGGGAAGAGCGGGACCGCAATGTGTTGCGTCTCGCTCCTGAAAATAAGGCATGGATGCCTCCAAAATCCGTCATGGATCACTTGTCGGCGACGACGAGTGATCGTTATCGAACACGGTTGTTCGATTCGTCAAGGATCCATCACCTTGACCCCAGCGCGAAAAACTATCGCGCTGAAAACGAATTCTTCATCGATTGCTTCTTTTGACATCGATGTTACAGTGGGAATCACAAACGTGATGGTCCCTCACTGCTTCAAGCGTGGAACGCTTACATCCATAACCTTGAGGATGTAGGTCGTGACGCTTGGAATGACAAACTTATCAAAGCTCGTGATAAGTTCGAAAAGCGAACCCCGACAGGTGCACGCTACAAGCTGCATCGTCTGTCAAGGGAGAAGGGATTACCCTGCCTCTCTTGGGGAGACTCATGCCCGTGTTGTGTGAACAACTCTGCACGAGCACCTAAGGAGGCTTACCTCCTTACTAGCCCGTGGTGGCGCGTACGTATCTCTATTGAGATGTACGAAGGGATTGACAACTTGAAATCCCTTTACGACCGTGCCGGGAAGACTTTCTCCGGCGGTCCTTCTGCGGCACAGGATGTGCCGCGTCGTACTGCTCAACCAGACCCAGTACGTCAACCATCAGTTGGGAGCGAGGCTCCCAAGAATCCCAGGACGGGGGATAGCCGCGCCACCGGACGAGGTAACTCGTCCGACGTCCGTTCACGTCGCGGTGGTTCAACAGCTGCTCAACTAGATAGCGCAGGCCACCGCGAGAGTCCTCTAATGGAGGTGGAGGAGGAGGAAAGACGCTCTCCACACGATCATGGGGATCCGTGTGTTCCCGAGAGCTTCTTTGATCGCGTAACGCAAGGGTTACACAACGATCTCGAACATGAGCGGGACAGGCGTCTCCAACTGGCGGACACTGCCTCGAAGCATCGAGCTGAGTTTGCCTTTGCTCAGCTTGAGAACGAGAGATCTCTGACATCTCTTCGTGACGAGCTAAGGGTAGCTCGTGGGATTGTTGATCGGTCTCGGGCTGAGATAACTGCTCTTCAGACCCTTGTCGATGCCCACCATCGGGAGCACAAGGCTCTCTGTGAGATGCTTGAGAGCAAGGGCGTTCTTCATCAGAAGAACCAGCGTACTGATGGTACGGCTTAAGCCGACCAACGTAAAACGTGGGATGCGTTCGCATCTTACGTGGCAACTCGATCGTGTATGCATTGCCTAGGCGGTGCAATACACGAAATGGGCCGATGTACTTGGGTAGTAGTTTACTGCTACCCAAGTTAGTCACTACATTCTTTGGTAGATTAACCGTAGACAGTAGGACTAAGTCACCCTTTATTAAATAAAAGAGTGTTTGCCCTTCCATTCTTGTCAGCGTTTTGCTTTTGCTTATCCACCGCTTCGGCGATGGAGTCTTGCACAAAACGGACTACCGTTTCACGAGCCAGTATGAACTCATCTGATGACTCGTTAGCTTCAGTGCGCTGTGAGCGCACTGCAGCAACATCAACCTTTTCTTCAGTGAGGGCTTCCGCACTCTCACTGGCATCATCTTCTTCAGTGAGGGCTTCCGCACTCTTACTGGCATCATCTTCTTCGATATCGATGTTATCGATATCGGCATCAAACGCAATGACCTCTTCGTCAGAGCGTGATGAGCGTGAACCAAATCGGCTTTTGCTCGCGCGAGTCCCTCCCCCCCTTAAACCAAAGGTTACACTCTAGTAAGGTGGGTACACGCGGATGGCGCAAGCCATTCACGTAAAACGGTGTATGTGTCGTGGACACATGCACCGAGTTGTTAATGGCAAACTCTACCATTGGCAAAAACTCACTCCAACTCTTAAAGGAGTGTACGTATCCTCGAAGTATCTCTTCAAGGACACGGTTGGCACGTTCCGTCTGACCATCTGACTCTGGATGATCAGATGTAGACATCTTCAAGCGCGTTCCGAGTGATTTGAACACGGAACGCCAGAAATCAGCAGTGAATTGTGGATCTCTGTCTGATACGAGTTCACGAGGCAACCCATGAAGTCGGAAGATGGTGTCAATAAAGACACAAGCACAGCCACTTGCCGTGATTGACTCTGGTACAGCCACAAGGTGTACCATTTTGCTGAATCTGTCAACAAATACGAGAATACCCGTATTCCCGCGTGCGTCTTTGGGTAACCCGAAGACAAAATCCATTGAGATGATTTTCCAGCACTCAGCCGGAACCGGTAGAGGCTGTAAAGGTGCGCGCAGTGAAGGACTTGACTTCACTCGTTGGCAGACTTCACATGCGCGAATATACTTTCGCACAAACTGATACTGGCGGGGCCAGTAAAAGTCTCGACTGACCGTGAGATATGTTTTATCTCGGCCACGATGTCCTCCTATAGGAGCATCGTGATACTCGAACATGATCCGCAAACGGAGATCAGTATCATCTGGAATGACAACACGTGGTGTGTCACCAGAAACGGCTGTATAATACAGTAAACCGTTACGAGTAGTGTATCGATCTGATGCAGATCGATACGCAGACGATAATCGTTTCAACGATTCTCGAGATGGCTGTGAGAGATGTGTCAACAACTTCACAATCTAACCAGCTTGGGCGTATGCCCGCCTCACATCATCATACAACGTTGTAGATGGAATTGAGGACGTCATAACCGCAACAGTGACTGTCTCACTGTTGGGTTTCGCGACTGTTTCGAAGTCGGGACGACGTGAGAGTGCATCAGCGACGACATTAAGTCGTCCTGGTTTGTACTCGACCGTAAAGTTGTATTCTGCAAAGAATGACAACCACCGCGCCATTCGTTGTGAAAGGTGCGGGCTGTTCACTGCCGTGCGTAATGACGCATGGTCAGTGTAAACAATGAAGGGTCTATCTCCTAATAGATAGACTCTGAACTTCGCGAGTGCAAACTCCATGGCAAGGAGTTCCTTGTCATGCACTGGATAGTTCCGCTCAGCTGGTTGCAGCTGACGCGACTGATAGCAGACGACGCGTTCAACTCCTTCTAGGTCGTACTGCATTAATGCACAGCCGATTGCGAAATCGCTGGCATCACAGACCACATGAAATGGCCTGTCCTGATCGGCTATTGCTAGGACTGGGGATTGTATCAAGCTCTGCTTGATACCCTCAAAGGAGCGCTGACATTCAGCGTTCCATAACCACCTCTCGTTCTTTTTCAACAAACGAGAGAGGTGTACAGTCATCTCGGCGTAATTGCGTGAATACTTGTGCAAATACGCCGCTAGCCCAAGGAATTTTCGAAGACCTTTGACATTAACCGACACAGGCCAGTCGGTGATCGCCTTGATCTTTTCGGGATCAGGACGTACACCGTTCTTACCAACGATGCACCCAAGAAGTGGTATTTCGCTTGCTGCAAATATACACTTCTTGAGGTTAGCATACAATTGATGCTTTCGCATGATTGTAAGAACCTGTCGGACGTGGTAACTGTTAACCTCAACGTCCGACTTTCCATCCATAGCTCGACTATGGATGAAGACGTCATCAAAATAACTCGGCGCGAATTCTCGTACTGGTCTCAACAGATGTGATACACATCTGTTGAACGTGGCAGGGGCATTACTAAGCCCTTGTGGCATAACTAGCCATTCTTAGAGCATGCCGCTAGGGGTGCTAACTTCGGTATAGGGTATATCCCGTTCTCGCATAAGGATTTGATAGAAGCCATCCATCAAATCCATGGACGAAAAGATGGTACTCTTTGACATACCATCAATGATTACGTCCTTCCTTGGTATCGGCGTCTGAGCCGGTACCGTTGCAGCATTCAACTTGTTAAATGCATGCACAATCCGCCACCCTCCTGTTGCTTTTCGCACACAGAAGGTCGGAGAGCTATGTGGGGAAGTTGATTCCCTCATATGGCCCGCAGCTAAACGATCGGCAAAGAGCTTGTCGACCGCAAGTACTTGTTCACGAGGCAGTGGCCACTGCTTCATAACACAGTACTTCGAGCCCGGTTTAAGCTCGACCTCGTGTTGAATACCTTTATCCTTCGGTAATTCGCACGGAACTGTTTCAGGGAATACATCCTTGAATTCAACCAAATCTTCATAGAGAGGATTTGTCTTGAGCGATTCCGACGATTGGGAGTCATATCGCTCAATTCGTGTCTTTTCATCCAAGACACTCTCGTCCATAGATGAACTACTGAGAACTCTCTCGTTCTCAGTAAACACTGTTGCTGACCTTATGTCGGTTACACACTCGTCGTCAGCGACGAGTATGCAGATCTGCTTGACTTTGCCACTATGCAGATCACGCAAGAACCTTTTATGTTCGAGCGTTGGCAACTGAGTGATCTCCGAAGTCAACTTCGGAGGCACAATCAGATCAAGTGTATAAGCGCCAACCCTTGATCCATCATTGACTAGGACATTCAATGTCTCTGTCATTTCCTGGGGACTTATTCCCTCAGGCCTCGAAAAACTTATTCCTTCGGCTTCCCGGGGACTTATTCCCGCGGGTTTCGGGGAGCTTTTTTCCGCCGTATTTGTAATCTTGGGTTTATTCCCTTTACTTCCTCTAGCTGGGGTTGCGCAACCACAACGAGATCCTCTACGAAAGACTCTCCAGTCGATCTAGGATTATCGTTTCGCTTAACCTGAGCGATCGATTGTTTCTCTTCTCGATGTTCCCCGCTAGGGATACATCTTTGTCCCGGTCCACTCGACTTATTCGAGTGGTGGACCTTCGGCGCAGCCTGTGTTTCCTCACAGCCGCCGGAACTTTGCTCCGAAGTGTAACTGTTTGTTACACTAAGGTTTTGTGCAGTCGTACTAACGACCGTACCACAAGTGAGGCCATCGCACTCACTCGTAGTACATCCACACGCTTGTGGACGCTCCAAAACGCTCATCAGATGGACATCTGATGAACAAGCGGCAGGCATCGTTACTGTTCGATGTTGCCAGTTTACCCGTGGTTTGTACCTTCTGAGCCACGGTATTCCAAGGATGACATCAAATTTGTCATCCAAATCTAATACGATAAAGTCATCGTCATATTGGGTATCTTCTAGCGTATAGTAGATATTCACTATACACTTCATGACGGTTACGGATGCGCCTGTCGCAAGACGTACCGTCATCCTCGTAGGAGGTGTGTCACATTCACTGAATTTAAAGTGACCATCTTCTAGCGATTGGCGTCGCACAAAATTGTTGGACGCCCCACAACCGACTAGAGCTCGAAGGGACAACTTGTTCGTCACTTCGAGTTTCAAGGTAATGAGTGAGACCTCATTACCTAGAGCAGCAACGCACAACGTTTGTGTGTTGGGAGCAACCTTCATCAAGAGGCCTACAAATTCCCTTGACGTTGCTGGATCAGTAGGGTGCTCCGCACCTACTGATCCTGTCCGTTTTTTGACGGTCCATCCCGTTGTTGCGTCTTTGCACCAACAGCGGACCCTCGTCCCTGCCCCTTTCTCATGGGTGGACGGTCACTACGCCCAGTGTCGCGAGACACTGGACGAGGGGCACTACACTCGTAAGCGTAGTGTCCTGTCTTTTGACATCTGTTGCATCTCTGCAACTTCTTGTAGTCTGTAGAGCGAGCCTTCTCGCTCTCTACATAACAGAGTTCCATCGGCTCTGGACCTCCGCTGTCATATCGTCTCGGTTGACGATATGATGTCGAGCTGGCGCGAGCCTGTCTCCGACTGAAATCTTTCTGTTCCGCAATGGAAATGGCTTGTTCTAGTGAATCTAGTTCAATCCGGAACAGGTGAGTCTTGACGGGACCATCCGCAAGACCCTGCATGAACACCGAAACCAACGTGTGTTCATCCACCGGATTGGAACTTATACAACTCGTAAGATGTCGTATATGTTGCGCTTAAGCGTGCACATCACGCTTACCCTGCTTAAACTTCAAGAGTTCGGTTCGAGCTCTGAACTCAGCTCTAGGCGGTTCAAACGTTTGTCTGAGCCGCGACTTGAAGACTTCCAACGACCCAAACGCATATGGGTCGTGCAACTTGAGCCCCAGTGCCCAAGTCTTGGCACGTCCTGCCAGATTTGACCGGGCAAATGCAACTTGCATATCATCGTCGTCGATGCGACGCGCCCTTATGGCGTCATCCAATTCGACGAACCATCTCAAGAGGGAGTCCTCTTCGACTTCCCTATACTTGGAGATGTCAATCTTCAATGTTTCGGGTCGACGCGAGTGCATCGACCCGCCAGCAGCAGCCTGCTGCTGTCTCAACAGTTCAAACTATTGAGCACCCTGTTCTCTCAACAAATCTGCTTGTTGAGAACCTTGTTGGTGAAGCAAGGCTACTTTCTCGCGTTCAGCGTCAAGTTCATTTTGAATAGTTAATGTCTGCAATAAATCACTGTTTATCTTCATCTAACTATGTCTAAATACAAATGTGTAAATCAACTATCTGCTCACCACTCTTTGCATGCGTCTGTCGTGGCGCGTCTTCGTTGGTTGATATTATGGCCTACATCAACCAATTAGGAACTGCTCGTAAGTGCTACAGAATATTTGTCCTTACGACAATATTCCGAGAATATAACTCTTACAGTTATATTCTATTAACAATTTCTTATAAATTGTTATGTAACGATTCACCCCGTTACATCATTGCTTTGTTTTATTTTATGCCTCCAGCGGGTATCCTTCTCGGCATAGTTCGCCGATATCATTTTAGATACAAAACTTGTACACGGCACAAATTGCTTTACATTAATACCATTTATAATTGCATCTACATACAGCACTTGGTCGTGGAGAGGTACGAGCTATGAGTGGTTTAAAGCACTTAATTAGCTAGTCACGGATTGCAGCACCACAGTACGTAAATTTAGACTAGAATGACGTGCATCTCGTGACGACAAATATAAAGCAACAAATAATTTGGTACGGGTTCCAATTCCACGGCCACTACAAGTTCAAAATCCATGTATTCTGCATACATATAGTGACCCGCGCAATTTTCGACAAATAGAGAGCTGAAGGTTCCAGAAACACGACTTAAAATGCTAGACATGCACGAAATTTCATTTTTAATAAATTACTTCTCAACTATGGTCGATAAAAAACGTCGTGCTAGTGCGGCAATACTAGGATTGCAGAGATTTCTTTACATGTCGCATAAGATACAGTGGACGCCTTACACATTAAAGCTGATCCCAGGCGCTGAAACTTTGTTCAACGGTGTCGTCATTTTAAATTGCCATTGTAATTACGGATCAATGCTTTGTTAATCTCATAGAACGAACCCAAAATTTCTCATTCTCCGGCATGAGCGCTCCTAGGCCAAAAGGTGAAATTTAGTTAAAAAGATATAAAGAGTCAATTCTTTTTAAGCACCATGAGCGGCACTACAGCATGGTGGCGATTTAGTTTTCCAAGTCAAGGTAACAAGTTAGCCTGAATAAAGACTGGGTTGAGCTCTGTGAAGAGCACCAACTTGTAAAGAACATAACAATGACGGTATATTTCACGCTTAACAACGCATTTCTTGTAAATCTAGCTGCAGAATTAGTGTAACGGGGTAGCCCGTTACATGATATTGACACCAAACGGTGTCAATAGGGAGATTGTCCAGCGTGACAATCTTCTGTCAATATTATCTAAGATCGGTAATATTGAAGGAACAAAATATCCCCTTTTCGGATAATAATCATGCGCTGCTCAAAGATTGGTTGATAAAAGACATAGCAACCATAGATTACCACCAATCGCTGCTAGACGCGCGCGATGAGTGGTGAGCAGGTTGTCGTTATACGACGACGTAGATTAATAAAGCTAGATAAAGATTAAAGTTAGATTGATAGCTTAACTATATTATCATAATGCAGTTCTTTTTTTGCCCTTTACTCAAACTAGCTGGTGAGTAGATTAGCTTCCTCGGCACGTACTAGTGTACGTGAAGTTTGGTGGTACCCCAAACAAAGGGTGCCCCGTTACAATTCATGTATGTTTTTAGTTCTCTGCTTTGTTTTGCGTTCAACGTTGATACTAATTACATTTTCACCCAACTTGCATTGCAGCGATTTATAGCGGCGTTCAGATAAATTTAGCCGACACGTTCGACTTCAGTAAAGAATTTAAAACATCTCCACAATATCCATTGCACCTCTATACTTTGCACAATGCTAGCTGCTTCTTTCTTGGACCGATAGGCGTCACGACAGCGTTGTTGCATACGCAGAACTGGACGACAAACGGATGTGTTTTGTAGGCCAGCACATGAATTGTTACATAACACAAGATTTGAGAGATAGAACTTTATGTTACTCTAATGTACGCTTGTGAGTAATTATGGTTATCCCTACAATTTATACTAGAACACGATATCATATTCAAGCGATATGACAAAGTTGATCAGATTTAACAAAATGGGTGAGAAATTATGGTAAGAGGGTGTGGATATAATAGTTTTATATCAGTATAGTGCTTTTGCCGGTCAGGTATTATAATCTATGGCAATATCTCGTACATAACATGCCGCTCATTTAGTTTAGATATATAACAAGTTGATGTACTAATCAATGTTACTCGTCACTTAACCTAAGCCCATGTTTTGCTCAGACTTTATAAACTTTATAGCTCTGCTGCAGTAAGAGACTACTTGGAAGGTGTAAAGGGTGAGAGCCCGGTTTTCGTTGTACAATCTATAGAGCGTGAGGAAACGCTTATACTTACAACATATATATAACTCTGTTTTTATTTTGTGCTTTATCATTTGCAATAAGTGCGAAAATATTCTATAGCTCCTAAGAACCAGTCACATATAAAGTTATTTATTATTGGCAATTATCGGGTCTATTCCCCGATAATAAATAATAGTAAATAGACGCGCAGTATTCGCTGTGCGACTACTGAAGCAAGTCTCATCAATCGGACCCGCTGAATGATAAGGCTACTGTGCAGTTCTGTCGTTTGAGTGCCTATAGACGATGGCGACCACAAATTGTCGCTTAAACAGTCAACTACCGTTTAATGTTGAGGCTTAAATTGTGTCGGAAAGATGGGTAAGACCGATGTGTCATGCCTTCACCTTGACAATCTAGTGCTCTATGAGAAGCAAAGTGTAATTGCTTACGAGGAAGATGAAACAAAATTGACACAGCAAGAATCTGACCAAATATGTTGTCTTCGAGTGAGTATACTTCGTCCTTGCAACTCATCACTCCTGAATAGTTTAATAAGTGCAGGAAGTAGTGCGGGGAATATTGGGGCCACCTTCTTCGAATACTCCACCAACAAGATAATAGCGGCTCAACTTTAACTCTTAACAGATACGCTGATGGCAATGACGATGGCAACAACCTACACATGAATGATCATAGAAGAGGAGCCGATGCGCTGTAACAAGGTAGCCCGTTACATGATATTGATACCAAACGGTGTCAATAGGGAGATTGTCCAGCGTGAC